CTCCGCCTGCAACTGTCGGCGCTTCTCGGGTTCTGCGAGTGAAATCACGACGACGATTCCTGCGATCGAGCCGCCTCCGATGACTGCCAGTGTTGTTCCCTCAAATGTGTCGGCTCCTAGTGCAGATACAGTTAGGGTTCTTCGATTGTTTAGTTTGTAGGATTGGAGAATTGTGTGGTGGTGAAAGAGATATTGTGGGAGTCCGATGAGAGCATAGGATCCCTTAAATAAAGAGATATCAGTTGTTAATTTTGGATATTCATTAATACATATATGTAATATTACTAATTTACCCTTATTTAATTAATTAATTAATTAATTAATTGCTAATTTCTGATTGGTGCATTTAGGCACACAATATTTGTTAAAAACATTTGAACCTATCTCTATATATATATATATATCTATATCTATATATATATATATATATATATATATATATTTATATATAATGTTGTTATGTTGTAGTGATCTGTTATATCTGTATGATTATTTGTTTGTTGGCTATATGTTTATCTGTTTTATATGTCGACATAATGTGGTTGGGTTGAGGCAATACTACTCTGTGCGGAAGCCAACAAACCTAGAGCAATCCAAACATAAGTTGTGGGACAGAAAAGCAAAGCAAACTTATGTTGTGGGCTCTGGAGCAAGCAAGACATAAGCTGAGGGCCAGAAAGGCAAGCCAGACTTATGATGTGGGCTTGAGAGCTATCCAGACATAAGTTGTGGGTCAGAAAGGCAAGTTAGACTCATGTTGTGGGCTCAGAGGTAATACATCCCGATGGTTGTGGACCCGATATGCATGTTGTTATATGTTTGTGTGGTGGTACTTTGGGGGAACTCACTAAGCTTTGACTTACAGTTTAAGTTTTATGTTTTAGGCACTTCAGATGATCATGCAGAAAGCAAATATGTGATCGTACACATCCTTTGGTAATATGTTTTAGAGATGTTTTGATACATTGATTTTAGAACAATTGTACCTAATCTTGGTTTTTTATTACCTAGGTCTGACTGAAAACAATGATTTGTCTTTAATTAAAAATTAAAACTTTTATCGTGATTTTGGGATGTTGCACATCGAAAAGTTACTGTTCCTAAGAGCTAGGATAAATGAACCTTTTTCTGTAAACTAAATATTTGTAGGGACTCAATTTGCCCTAAATGTAAAACCTTTTCATGGAGTAAATTGTAGGGACTAAATCTATCAAAATGTAAAACCTTTGTTACGAGGACTAAATCTATAAAAATGTAAAACATTTTTTGTAGGGACTAAATATATCAAAATAAAAAACCTTTGTGCAAAGACTAAAACTGCCAAAATATAAAACATTTTGATGGGATACCAATTTAATAAAAGATAGAGACAAAAAATGAGAACGTTTGGAAACACTTAAAGCATATTATTCATAAGGTTAATAAAAATTAATATATTATATAATATAAATAAACAATATAATAAATTATTTTATTTTTATTTTTATTTAATTTAGCCCATAGTTCATCATTGAAAGTTTGAAACTCATCAATCAATTACCATTTGTCTAAACAAAATATCAAACAATTCAATAATAATTATTCACTTGATAACAAAATCTATATTTGTATACAGTTAACATTTTAATACTCATTTGTATCCAATAAAATATTTTAACCTAATGGGTTTAGATCAAATGCCAAATTTATGTATAAATACTTCAATTATTTTTAATTTTACTTTAAAACCTTTTATATTTTTGAAAAAACTCAAAAAATGTCCCCAACAAAATAAAATAAAATGCTGGAATAGCTATGACAACAACCGAAAACCATTTATAAATAAACATTTTATTTCATTTAAGTTGTTCTCAACAAAATAAGAATTAAACCTATTAATAAGTATGTAGTATTAAGATTTAATACGTTGCTTTCTTTATAAGCAGAATCTTAATCATAATTTTGGAAAGATTTTATAATATTTAACCGTTAGAAGTTGAAAGGGTTGGCTTAGGATTCCAGCTATTTATACGTTCTTCTTCTTCTTCAGGTGTCCCGCTCCCAAAAACACCCCACAGACACATATAGCGATTGCAGTGGCTCCGCCATCCTTCGCCGGAGATCTAAAACTGATGGAAATCGAAAGTCATTCTGCTCTCAACAAATCTGAACACCCCCGAGACCAATGGCGATCGATGTAATTCTACTGCACGAGACCAAAACACCCCAACCTTCGCAGTAGACTCTCACTCACCTGTTAGTCCAAAAAGTTATCAAGGTCGATGTAAGTTTTCTCTAGGGTTTTTTTGGTGATTCAGATATTGTAATTTTCTTGTAAAATTAAAATTGATGTTTGATTAAGAAAGAATCAAAGGTTAATTGATGTTTGTTTTTTTATCCTCGTTGTGGTTTCTAGTATTACCCTGCATTCCTCTTCATCTTTTCGTTGACGTTTTTTTTTTTTTTTTGTGAACTCTGATTTCGTCAGTTTAACTAAATGCATCAGACCCATTACAACATAAAAAAGAAACTGCATTTGGTTGATCTTTTCGTTGGGTTCTTGGTCAGCATCTTTTCATTGGTTTTTTTTTCTTCTTCATCTTTTCATTGTTATAGTTTTTTATTCTCTACTCTAGGGTTTTTCTGTTATCGAAACGTGATTTTTCGTATGTACAGATAAAGTTAATGTATGGACAAGAAAACTAATTTTAATGATACATGGATTGATTCAAGATTTGTACAATGAGTATGAACTTTGGCTACTTTTTATGATAACGTACTGTTTTCTGGCTCTGTTAGGATAACTGGAGCAGTCAGAGAGTTTTTGTTCATAATAAAAAACAACAAGAAGAAAGGACGTCTTCAACAGCCAAACTGAGGTTTGATTTTTTTAGTATATGAGATACGATTTTTTTTTCATGAGGCTTCTCCTGAATCTGTTTGAAATATGGTCATTTGTGTGTTGTTTTGGGAGAATTCCTCTCTAAACTTGTGATCTAGGGTTCTGTAACTCATCAAAATAATTTATCTCACCCCTCTATTTTGTTGTTTTGATTGTGATTCTGCTCTTCTAATTAACAAAAGTTGTTTGAATCATTTCAAAATTCGAGTTTGTTTCATCAGAAAAAAAAAAATGGATTTTAGTGAGTTTGCTAATCAGATTATCCACCGACTGAAAAATACATGTTTAAAATCTACAAATACAGGGTTTTGATGAGTCACAGACTGGTTTAGATTTTAAATTTTTTAGTCTCCATTTTATGTTTGTTTTTGATGATTTTGATCATAACTTTTCGAGACCAATGTGAAGGTGGTTATGACTTGTCTTGTAGATGTAGTTGTAGCTGATTCTGATTTTCATCACCTATGGGTAACTCATTATTAATATTATATGGGTAAATTTGAAACAGTTAGGTTACAGAAAGGAAATTTACATGAATGATTTATTTAAAATTTGTTAAATTGGACTCATGGGGTGCCAGTATTTGAGGGAAGGATTGGTAACATTGTGGGTGTGGCTTATGCAATGTGTTTGTTGGACCTTTTACAAAAAGTAAGATGGTTTTTGATTATTTTGTATCATTTTATTAATTAAGATTATAGAGTTAATCTTGAAACTTTGAAGGGTGATATGCTGGAGGCTCCTAACAACCCAACCCAATATGAATATACAAATATCACATGATGAAGGGCATACATGTCATTTCATTGCCACTCTAATGGAAGGATGTTCGTACAGGGTACTGAGAGGAATCTTTCTTATATCTTGTTGGCTCTCATGAATCCAATTTGACTCCTGGTATTGTATAGTTTTTATATTTCTTTATTAACTTTTTAACATTTACTATTAAAATTGTATTGTATTTTTATATACAACTTCAGGGTGGTTGGAGAAAGAGAAAAATATGATTGTTTGGCACAAGGATTGTTATGATTTTGAAGAAAAGGTTAGCCATTTATTTCCACTTAACTTAAATACTTTAATTTTCATTTAAAATAATGATTTCCAGTTAGATTTTGCAGCAGTGAGCCATCTGTGACAGAAGATGAACTGAAGCTGATGTTGAGGGTTGCAGAGTTGATCCAGAAGAAGAAAAAGTATGCATAAAGTTCATGTCACATTTGTTCTCAAGTTTCAGTATTTCTTGAAAATGTGTTGGAGATAAAAGGCACCAATGTGAAGGAGGTTATGACTCCTCTGGTGACATAATACTGATGAAATCAATATTATATTGTGGGTAAATTTGAAGCAATTAGTTCAAAGAAAGGAATTTTCCATGAAAGATTTATTTAACAATCGTTAAATTGGACTCATTCATTAGGTGCCAGTATTTGAGGGGTGGAGGTGTGGCTTATGCAATGGATTTGTTGGATCTTGTTCAAAAAGTAAGATGGATTTTGAATCATTTTATGTTTGTTTATTAGTTAAGATTGTAGAATTAATCTTGAAACTTTGAATAAGAGAGCCTGTTTATTTTTGATCCTGGTAAGAGTTGACTAAAAAAAGCTGGTCAGTTGGGTTGACATTTGTTTGTTTCTATTGTGTTTTAAATCCTGGTAAGAGTTGACTAAATATATATTTAATTGTTAATTTTTATATTTTTTTGAAGATCTTGAATATTTTTATTGTTAACAGGTTAAAATCATTACAAGTAAATCCGTGCATGAGGTCCAGTTGGAGTAGTGAGATTCCTAACAACCCAATGGTGTTGAACATGAATCTTCAAATGTCAGATGATTAGGGAGGGGCATGCATGTCATTTCACTGCCACTCCAATGGAAGGATGTTTGTACAGGGGTACTGAGAGGAATCTTTTTGCTCACTATCTTGACTTGGCCCTCATGAATCCAATTTGACTCCTGGTATTATATATTTTTATAGATTGCTTTATCAACTTTTTAACATTTACTTTTCTAAAATTGAATTGTGTTTTATATAGAGCTTCAGGGTGGTTGGAGAAAGAGCGAAATATGACTGTTAGGCCCAAGTATTGTTATGATTTTGAAGACAATCGGGCAAAATGGGTACCAAAAAGTTAGGTAAAATGAAATAAAATTTGATCGGTTTTGATAATCTGTATAGATTATAAACATAATTATGGTTATTCTTTTTCTCCAGCAAAGAAAGACACAACACAAGAAAGAAAATGTATTTTGGTAGGTTATTATGGAAAGTGTTTTGTGAAAAAGAAGGAGATAAGAGAAAGGTTTCTCCATTGTAAATGCTAAGCAGCTGTAATTATGGTTGTACTTTTTGATGGTGACACTGAAACAAAAGGTCCAGTCAATCATTAAAGGTAAAGTGTTTGAGTATGGAAATATGTTGTGCTTTTAATCGAGTGTGTCACAGATAGAATTGATATGATTTCATCATGTGAATTTTGTTGCTGTTTGCTATAGTTGTTTGGATCAGGGTTATATATGTATTTTAATTGTTAAAGCTATTGTAGCCAAGCGTCTTAACTAACATTCAGGCTTTATGTTTAGGGAATGTCTAAATATGATAATTCCATGTTTTCCAACATTCAGATAAATCGATGTTTTGAGGCACTGGGATTAAAGTAAGATGAACAAATGATGGCTGGTTGGTTTAATTACATTACATTAGATATTCAATCACTAATGCTTTTGTATTTCATATGAGAGCATAGGGAATGCTCTCACAAGTTTTCAATTCGGTTTCAAGAAACTTTTCAATTTGTTGATACCAATTACCTCAATGATGCTTCTACCAGATAATACCTTAAGGGTAATTTCCCCAAAAAAACCTGTTTATAAATTTTATATTTGGAAATGTGTGCCATAGATGCAAAACCCCAGGTAGATTAATCCTACTTTTGCTCATTGTTCTTTTTTTGTAAGAAATCTGTTAAGTTATACTATAATAATTCTTTTACCAGTGCATGTATTGAGTCTTTTTTTTTTTTTTTACTCCCTTCCCTCATTAAGATTTTCATTTTACCCCCCTTAATCAAGTTGTATGTTAAATCTTTATTATTTTTGACTATTTAATCGATTCTATGAAACATGCAAATAAAATTGAATATCTTTTATAGGAAAAATATCAATAGAAAGCTTCATGTGGTATAATGATTTTTGTTAAAAAGTTAGATGTAGTTTTTCTTGCTTATGCAGGCAGGGTTATATTATACAACAGAAAAGAGTAGCATTCAACAGTTTTTGGGCTTAGAATCCATACTTGGAAAAACTTGTAATTCCTGAGGCAGAGTAATCAGAGAGCTTTGAACCACATACAAGAAGCTGATGCTTTTTCTCCAGCAAAGCAAAAGACACAGCACAACAAAGAAAAGAAAAGGTATTTTTTCCAGTTTAGTTTATTAATTTATGGCAAGTCTTTTCATTTATTTTCTGAAAAAGAAGAAGATGATGAAACATTTTTCCATTGTAAATGCCAGGTCATCAGATTTATGTGTTTTTGATGGCTTTGATGATATGAGCAGAGATCAATTAGTTGTCAAATTTGTGACTCTGAAATCAAAGCTCCAGTCTATCACTCTAAAATCAAATTTTCTGCCAAACGTGATTTTTTTTATTACAATTTAGGTAAGTTATATTACTTAATTTTCCTACTAATTACTGTATATATTTTTTTCTTATATGATTCATATAGTTTTATAATAATGTATCAAATAAACAGCCAAAGGAAATGTGTTTTATTACTTTTGCTTGATTTTTAATTATTTCTACTTTGAAATGGAGTGAGATTAGCATGTGATAGAGGTGATGAAAAAAGCTTGCAGATGTCTAAAAATGTGTTTAGTGGTTGGAATCTTGTGTTAAGTTGTATTGTATTATATATGTTTTTATATATCTTTATTAACATTTATATTTAAAATTGTATTGTATTGTATTGTATATCAAGAAAGAGCTAAATGTTATTCTTTTCTCATGATAGTTTTTTTAGAGTTGAATTTACTTGTATGATTTTCAAGATTTATCATTTTCACTTTGAAGTCAAACTTCATACAATATTTCCTTCTGTCTTCCTTTCCCTTAAATATAAGGATATTTAAAATGTGATATTTTTTTATTACAATTTAGGATAGTTAAGTTATTTAAAAAAAATTAATATTCATTAAATCCTACTAATTGAAGAATGGTGCTTATTGGTATAAATGAATTTCTTATAGCTTTATAACTATGTATGAAATAATTTAATCTACTTTGGAATGGAAATTTGAATTAAGAATCGAGATATATTGATGGAGTGAGATTAGCATGTGATAATTTTTGTAATGATCAATTAATCTTCTTCTGCAGATAATAAATAGACTGTCTAATTATGGGTTGAAGGGGTTTCCAACATCTTCTCTTCACTCTTAAACCTTGGGATTTGATTTATGTGGGTAGGTAGGTTGTTAGCAATTATGATTTTGGAGGTTGTTTTTATAATTATAAACATAGAATAGAGACATTCCACTGTTAATATTTTGATTTTTAAATTCGCAGGTAGGGTTTCCAACTAACTGATTGGTTCTCCCATGGCTTGGGTGGTGGGATGAAGGTAATTCGTGCTGTTAATAGGCTTATATAATATTATGCCACATTCATGTATTTCCACCTTTTTCAGTTATTATCATATCATATCATCATCCACACATTTTACTTTTAAAAATATCAAACTTGTTTGATTTTGCTTAAAGAGATTGGACTTTAAAAGTTAAATTGGACATTTGATGCAACTTTGACTTTTGAGTCAAACTAACTAACATTTAATTTCGAACCTAATAAGTATTCTTCCATTTTGTTTTAGAGTTTTGAGATGTGAAAGACGTGATTGGGGACAGGTGATGCCAAAGAAATAAAAGCATGCTTCTCATTTTCCTTTCTAATACTCATATAATGAATGTATCTCAATTACGTATATATTATCATCGTTATTTTATTTTTATTTTTTTTGTGGATACATTTCTATACAGTTGAAGATCTGTAGAAGCACCCTCTTCATCTTTTTTTGTTGGAGGGTTTTTTGTCAACTCTGATTTTGACAGTTTAACTTAATTCATTCATTACAACTTAAAAAAGAAACTGCATTTTGTTGATGAGGTTCTTGGGTTTTTTATTGGGTGTTTTTCTACTTCATTTTTCATTTGTATATGTATTTTATTTCTTTACTCCAGGGTTTTTCTGTTACTCAGACATGATTTTTCTTATATGTATGGACATCAACAACACATGTATTGATTCTAGATTTGCAAAATGAGTATGAACCTAGGCTACTTATTATAATAGTTGCCCCATGTTAAATAAATTTATGAAGATTTGTAAAATTAATATCATGTAACACATCCTGCTTTCTGAGTATCTGACAGGATAACTGGATCAGTCAGAGAGTTTTTGGTCATAATCAAGAACAACAAGAAGAAATAACGTCGATTCAACAGCCAAACAGAGGTTTGATTTTTTTAAGAACTAGTTTTTAATATATGAGATAATATATTTTTTAATGAAACTTCTCCTCAATCTGTTTGTAGTATGGTCATTTGTGGGTTCTGTAACCCATCAATAAAAATTTATCTCACAACTCTATTTTGTTGTTTTGATTTTTTTAATAACAGTAGCTGAGGTTCATACTCTATTTCAATGGGAATGCTTAAATTTCTTGGTTTAAAGGGTAAAGGCTAGACATTTATTTCAACTTAAATGCTTTAAATTTCGTTTAAATTAATGATTTCCAGTTAGATTTTGCACCAGTGAGCCATCTGTGACAGAAGATGAACTGAAGCTGATGTTGAGGTTTGCAGAGTTGCAGAGTTGATTCAGGCTATTGAGGAAGAAGAGAAAGTATGCATAAAGTTCATGTCACATTTGTTCCCAAGTTTCAGTATTTCTTGAAAATTTGTTGGAGATAAAAGGCACTAATGTGAAGGAGATTATGACTCCTCTTGTAGATGTAGTTCTAGCTGATTTTGGTGACATAGTATTGATGATTATGGGTAAATTTGAAACAATTGGTTTAAAGAAAGGAGTTTTCCATGAAAGATTTATTTAACAATTGTTAAATTGGACTGATTGGGTGCTAGTGTTTGAGGGGCGGATTGATTATAATATTGTGGGTGTGGCTATTGCAATGGATTTGTTGGATCTTGTACAAAAAGTAAGATGGATTTTGATTATTTTGAATCATTTTATGTTTGTTTATTAGTTAAGATAATAGAATTAATCTTGAAACTTTGAAGGGTGATATGCTATGTGAGAGAGTCTATATATTTTTGTTCCTGGTAAGAGTTGACTAAAAAAATGGTCAATTGGGTTGACATTTGTTTCTTTCTATTGTCTTTTAGATGCTGGTAAGAGTTGACTGAATATATATTGATTGTTATTTTTTATATATATATATATATATATATATATATTGAAGAGTATTTTTTTTTATGCTAACAGGTTGTAATCATTACAAGTAAATATATGCATGAGAGGTCCAATTGGAGTAGTGAGACTCCTAACTACCGAATGGTGTGAACATGAAATGTTCAAATGTCAGATGATCAGGGGCATACATGTCATTTCACTGCCACTCCAATGGAAGGATGTTTGTACAGGGGCACTGAGAGAAATCTTTTTTCTCACTATCTTGTTGGCCCTCATTAATCTAATCTGACTACTGGTATTATATATATATATATATATATATATATATATATTATTGCTTTATCAACTTTTTAACATTTGCTTTTAAATTTGAGTTGTGTTTTATATACAGCTTCAGGGTGGTTGGAGAAAGAGCCAATTATGTCTTTTAGGCCCAAGTATTTTTATGATTTTGAAGAAAATGCAGAAATCGGGCAAAATGGGTACCACAAAAGTTACGTAAAATGAAATAAAATTTTACATTTTACTCCCTCCCCTCCCCTCATTAAGATTTTCATTTTATCCCCCTTAATCAAGTTCTATGTTAAATATTTATTATACTATGAAACATGCAAATAAAAATGAATATCTTTTATAGGAAAAATATCAATAGAAAGCTTCATGTGGTATAATGGTTTTTGTTAAAAAGTTAGATGTAGTGAAGCCATTTGTTTTATGATTTTCTTTTTCTTGCTTATGCAGGCAGGGTTATATATAGAATAGAAAAGAGTAGCATTTAGAATCCTTACTTGGAAAAACTTGAAATTCCTGAGGCAGAGTAATCAGAGAGCATTGAACCACATACAAGAAGCTGATTTTCTATGTAGGCTTTTTCTCCAGCAAAGCAAAGACACGTCACAACAAAGAAAAGAAAAAAAAAAGGTATTTTTCCAGTTCAGTTTATTAATTTATGGCAAGTCTTTTCATTCATTTGTTTTCTGAAAAAGAAGAAGAAGAAGATGATGAAACCCTTTTCCATTGTAAATGCCAGGTCGTCAGATTTATGTGTTTTTGATTGATGGCTGTGATGATTTGAGCAGAGATCAATCAGTTGTCAAAATCTTGAGACTCTGAAATCAAAGGTCCAATCTATCACTCATCTTACAGTTTAATTGTTGGAATCATAAAAAATAATAATAAAATCTTTGTTGATCCTAAAAACATTTCAATTCATTTTGATACGTAAAAGATGTTCCTCTTATGGTGGATCCATGGTTGTTGAAAATTGAAATGGATTTTACAGCTGTTAGTTGACACCAAGACCTACTATTTGTTTTCATAGTAACAAAATTTGCATCTTTTTTATTATTCTTCATTACCCTTATCACCTCTTATTATATTGATGGTTGTAAGACTTTATAAACTTAATTATATAATATGATGATGATGATGATATGGTGATATATTTTTACTTTTGAGTTCAAATGAATAAATGAGGGATTTTTATTGATTCATTGATTAAATGGGTACCATAAAAACATGATGTCCTTAACTTTTTTATTTATGCAAAGCCTGATTTTTTTATTACAATTTAGGTAAGTTATATTAGTATTTAATATTCCTACTAATTATAGTATATATTTATTTCTTATATGATTCATATAGTTTTATAATAATGTATCAAATAAACAGCCAAAGGAAAAAGTGTACCATTACTTTTGCTCGATTTTTAATGATTTCTACTTTGAAATGGAGTGAGATCAGCATGTGATAGTGGTTGGAATGTTGCATTAAGTTAAATTTTGTAATGATCAATTAATCTTCTTCTGCAGATAATAAGTAGACTGTCTAATTATGACTTGAAGTTTTGATTGAAATAGGGCTTCCAAAACCTTGTCTTCACTCTTAAACCTTAGGATTGATTTGTGTGGGTAGGTAGGTAGGTTGTTAGCAATTATGATTTGGAGGTTGTTTTTACTTTCTATTATAAACATAGAATAGAGACATTCGACTTTTAATATTTTGATTTTTAAATTTGCAGGAAGGGTTTCCAACTGACTGGTTCTCCCCATGGCTTGGGTAGGTAATTCTTGCTGTTAATAGGCTTACATAATAAATATGCCACATTCATGTATTTCCACCTTTTTCAGCTATCATCATCATCCACACATTTTACTTTTAAAATATCAAACTTGTTTGATTTTGCTTAAAGATTGGACTTTAAAAGTTAAATTGGACATTTGATGCAACTTTGACTTTTGAGTCAAACTAACTAACATTTAATAAGTATTCTTCCATTTTGTTTTAGAGTTTTGATATGTGAAAGACATGTTTGGGGATAGGTGATGCCAAAGAAATAAAAGCATACTTCTACACTACTTCATTTTCATATAATCGTTATTTATTTAGTTTTTTGTAGATACATTTCTATACAGTTGAAGATCTGTCCTCTTCATCTTTTTGTTGGAGGGTTTTTTGTCAACTCTGATTTTGCCAGTTTAACTAAATTCATTCATTACAATTTACAACTTAAAAAAGAAACTGCATTTTTTTGGTCTGCATCTTTTCATTGGGTGTTTTTCTTCTTCATCTTTTCATTCGTATGGTTTTTATTTCTTTACTCCAGTGTTTTTCTGTTATTCAGACATGATTTTTCTTATGTAAAAATAAAGTTATATGTATGGACAAGAAAACTATTTTTATCAACACATGGATTGATTCTAGATTTGTAAAATGAGTATGAACCTTGGCTACTTAATATGAAAACTGCCCCATATTATATATAATCTTATGAAATTTTTAAAATTAATATCATGTAACACATCTTGTTTTCTGACTATCTGATAGGATAGCTTTTGGTCTTAATCAACAACAACAACAACAAATGATGTCGATTCAACAGACAAACAGAGGTTTGATTTTTTCAAACAACTAGTTTTTAATATATCAGATACAATTTTTTTTTCATAAAACTTCTCGTGAATCTGTTTGAAATATGGTCATTTGAGAAAATTCCTCTCTAGATTTGTGATCGATCTAGGGTTCTGTAACTCATCAAAATAATCTATATCTCACTGCTCCATTTTTTCGTTTTGATTGTGATTCTGCTCTTCTAATTAACAAAAGTCGTTTGAGTTATGGTTTAAAAAAATCTTGAATCAATTCAAAATTTGAGTTTTTATCAGAAAAAAAATAAAATTGATTTTAGTGAGTTTGCTCGTCAGATCAGTCAATAACTTAGAAAATGAAAAAGGAAAGTCCCAACATGCTTTATTTATACTTTATACTAATAAAATTAGCATTAATGTAATTAATGTATCAAGTATTAAAATAGGTATGGCCTTTAATTGTTTTATATCCTGGTTGAAGCGTTGTAGCTTTTCTTTCAATGAGAATGCTTAAAGTGGTTGTTGGTTTAAAAGGGAAAAGGTTAGTTATTTATTTCAACTTGAACTTAAATACTTTAAATTTCATTTAAGTTAATGATTTTGCACCAGTGATAGAAGATGATGTTGAGGTTTGCAGAGTTGCAGAGTTGATTCAGGCTATTGAGGAAGAAGGAAAAGTATACATAAAGTTCATGTCACATTTTTTTTCCAAGTTCCAGTATTTCCTGAAAATGTGTTGGAGATAAAAGGCACCCATGTGAAAGAGGTTATGAGTTATGACCATTTGACCACCTTTTTAAAAATTTATCACAAACTTATTTTGCGAATGAATCTTCAAATATCACATGATGAGGGGCATACAGTTCATTTCATTGCCACTCTAATGGAAGGAATCTTTTTTCTCACTATCTTGGTGGCCCTCATGAATCCAATTTGACTCCTGGTATTATATATTGCTTTATCAACTTTTTAACATTTACTTTTAAAATTGAATTGTGTTTCATATACAGCTTCAGGGTGGTTGGAGAAAGAGTCAAATAGTACTGTTAGGCACAAGGATTTTTATGATATTGAAGAAATGGGGCAAAATGGGCACCAAAAAGCTTGGTAAAATGAAATAAAAGTTGATCGGTTTTGATAATTTGTATAGATTATAAACAACATAAATAGGGTTTTACTTTTTCTCCAACAAAGAAAGTCTACAAACAAAGACACAACACTACTACACTAGAAAGGAAAGGTATTTTGGCAGTTTATTGAAGCAAATCTATTATTCTATGAAACATGCAAATAAAAATGGGTATCTTATATAGGAAAAATATCAATAGAAAGCATTTGTCAACACTAGCTTCATGGTTTATTGGTTTTTGTTATAAAGTTAGATGTGGTAAGCCATTTATTTGTTAACACTAGATTCATACAACATTAGCAGCATATAGAAAGTTGTATGAGTTTCTTTTTTCTTGCTTATGTAGGCTTTTTCTCCAGCAAAGCAAAGACACAGCACAAGAAAGAAAAGAAAAGGTATTTTTCCAGTTTAGTTTATTAATTTATGGCAAGTCTTTTCATTCATTTGGTTTCTGAAAAAGAAGAAGAAGATGATGATGAAACCTTTTTCCATTGTAAATGCCAGGTCATCAGATTTATGTGTTTTTGAGTGATGGATGTGATGATTTGAGCAGAGATCAATCAGTTGTCAAAATCTCGTGAGTCTGAAAGCAAAGGTCCAATCTATCACTACATTTTCCTTGTTTAATTGTTGGAATCATAACAATTAATAATGAAATCTATGTTGATCCTAAAAACATTTTAGTTCATCTTGTGGTGGATCCATGGTTCTTGAAAATTCAAATGGATTTTACACCTGTTAGTTGACACCAAGATTATCTGACGTATATTACAACTGTTATAGTTACAAAAATACATATTTGTTCATGTCTAGGTTGGTGAGGAATATATATACAATTAATGTCTTATTGACCGATGTAAGACTTTATAACCTTAATTATATAATATTCTTTTACTATTACTTTTACTCGATTCTTTACATATATAAGCATTGTACTATTAAAATTTTGATTTTAAATTTTCAGGACAATTGATTATATAATGGCTTGGGTGGTATGAAGGTAATTCTAGATATCTCTCTCAACACATGAAATAGAAAAAGAAATAGAAATGGGAATGAAATTACTATTATACATTAATTAAAGCTGCAACTTTTAGCATATCTGTTAAATTAAAAATTAAGATATCAAACACTGCACAACTGCTTGATATTATTTACATAAAATGTTATCTAACATTTACTTTCTAACAGGGATAGAGAAGATATGCATGCACAGGTTTTGATTCCATGTTTTTATAAAAGACTGAAATTTTATAAGTTTTTACCAAACAACTTTTTGACACTTGGGTTTGTGGTCAGGAGATTAATAAGATTTGAAAAGTTGGTATTTTCTTCAATTCAATTTGTTTAGGCCAACTTCTTATATGATAACATTAAGACTATAAATTTAGCAAGGTGGAATTCAGGGCTTAGAAAACTTTACTAGATTTTTTTAGATACATATATTATTACAGTTGAGTGATCTTCCTTAAAAGATTAAAACTAGTTAGATGTATGAGATTGTTGTTGATAAATCTCAACCTACAAAATCAGAAACTTCCTCTTTGTTATATATATATATATATATATATATATATATATATATATATATGCATTAGGCTTTTACCAAGGATTTGGCTTCTACCAATCTTGTTAAAGCATATGTCACTTGTATGAAGTTATTAACTATATATTCCATTATCAGTATAACTCAAAAGGCAATTGTAGTAGTGAAGAATGTTGATGAGACCATAACAACATATACAAAACAGTTATGGAATGGATAATAATTTAAAATTTTCAATTTTCTTTCTTTTTTTGGGCTTTTTGTAACTTTCTTTTCTTTTATATCAGTTCCCACACCAAGTGCATTGGTATAGAGGGCCACAAAGCTATGTTCTATGGTCTTTGTAATGTTTTTGGTCCCTGTCCCAAGAAAAATGACAATAGTTTTAGGACCAAAATTGCAAATTTTAGCTCTACTCAGAGACCAAAAATAGTCATTTTACTTGGAATAGAGACCAAAAATGTTACAAGAACCTCTAATGAGGACCAAATTTGCAAAAATCAGCTATAAAAGATGCAACTTTATCTAAAATCAAAAGTAAACATTCTATTTTTTGTTAGCAGGTTGGAATTAGTAGAAGCAAAATCCTTGCATGCAGTCCAGTTGGTAAATATATGAATAATTCAAATATCACATGATAAGATGAGGGGCATACTTGTAATTTCATTGCCACTTTTTATGAAAGGATGGTTGTACATGGTACGTACTAACAGGTATCTCCCCTCTCTTCTTCTCTTGTATATGTAGTCAGTCAGTCCTTCCTGTAAATTTTGTTGTTGTTTTGTGATGAATATTCAGGAAGCAACTTTTGTTACACATCCAACATTAATGAAGGAAATAAATAGTCCTTCATTCAACTTGTTAATATTCTCATTTTGTATCAAAAAGAAGGGGAGACTAAATAATATTCATCTTGCAGATTGTTATAATTCTTGGATTCATAAAAAGGATAATATGCATGGCATGCTGATTGATCCTAAAAACATTTCAATTCATATTGATAGGTAGAAGATGTAGTATATACATCTTGAGGTTGATCCATTGTTGTTGAAAATCAAAATGGATTTCACACCTGTTGGTTGTCACACCAACATCTTGTAATTACATGGTAGAAGATGTATTTGTTATATGCTTGATATAGTTTTATAATAATGTATGAAATGATTTCTGACACTTAAAATCTACCATGTGTTTTCTAGGTCCTGAGCTTACAAATAAACAGCCAAAAGAAGCAACTAAAACTTCTAAAGATATTATTACTTCTACTCAATTTTTTATTTATTTTTTTGTGAAATGTAAATTTTAATTGAATGGAAAATCTTGATATCTTTTCAGCAATTATCCTTTGACATTATGCAAAGATTGATTGATCATCCCAACTCTCAGTTTACATCTGTTTGATCATCTGGAGACTGTTTTCAAGCAAATATCATATAGTTTTCTTTTGGAATCCTAAGTATATTGCTACTATTATTGTTCATTTAAAAAACCATTTGATTAGGTGGAAACCTGAATAAAAAATGAAACACAACAATGGAAGCTAAAATTTGATTGAGAACTTTGAAGCTAGCTGATTCTCATAACATGGATGTTGTTGAAAAAAAATGTTATCACCTTGTTTGTTTATGTTACAGGGGTTGGTTTGAAGATATTAACATATAGAGTTATAGAACAGCCAGCCTAAATGTAGGATTTTGTGGTATTTTTTATGTTCTTATTTAATGCATAAATTGTTGGGCTTTTTATTGTTGTATGAAGCAATCAAGGTTTTTTTTAATGGTTTGCAGGGAGATATGATGACTATGGCTTTCTAAAAACATTAGTATATTTCCAAGAGAAAATCAACCAAAGAAGGATTGATTTGTTTCTGTTGCTTTATTTATGAGTGAGTTTTATTAATTGATCTGGTTTTGCTATGTAGGTATGTTGGGATAGAAACACCAACATAAACACATGCCAACCTAAAAATACAAACAAAGATATCAAAAGGAAAAAGTGTTGCGCATCTTTTTATATTACCATTTGAAGTCTCAAGTATCTTCAATATTGGAAAATTGTAAGTTATCCTTTTCTCAGAGTTGAAAACTAGAAATTACTTCTACAATGATACAAATGAAATTTTTTGACAAAATTCTTTTAAGATTTTCAAAATTTATTGTTTTTGCTTTGAAATCAAACTTCATTTAAGATTTACTCATTCTTTTCCCTTATTAATCAGGAGGATATCTAGGAACCAACTTTTGTTTCTTGTTGGTCATTCCACCTTCAATTCACTATTTACTCATTACTTGTACTCAATTCCATCATTGATTTCTACTTTGAATTGAGAATTGAGATATATTGATGGGGGTGAGATTAGCATGTGATAAAGGTTACGAAAAAGCTTAATCTATCTAAAAATGTGTTTAAATTACTTTTTAATGAACAATTAATTAATCTTGTGTAGGTAAATAGACAGTCTAATTATGGGTTGATGTTTTGAAATAGGTCATAAACATCTCATCTTCACTTAACCTTGGAATTGATGTTTGTGGGAGTAGTTGTTGAGCTCCAGATTCTTCATAGGAGTTTTATTTTATTTATTTTATTATTATCATATTTCTTTCTATAGAAGCATTGTACTTTTAATATTTAGATTTTAAGTTTTCAGGGGTTGCAACGAAAATTAATCAAGATTGGTGCTCCCATGGCTCGAGTAGTATGACAGAAGGTAATTCTTGATATTTCTCTCAACACATGAAATAGAAATAGAAATGGGAATGAACTCGTTTAGTGTATGTCATATAGAAAGATGAATCTCACTTGATTACATAAGATGTTAATTTGAAAATTCCTTAATTTGATAGCCGGACTACATATTTACATAAATTAATGCTACTACTGGTAACACATTTGTTAAATTAAAAATTATAATTTGGAGCAGTTGAGAGCACCTACAAATGACTTTCCATTATCCAATGCCATTGCTAAGGTAAGAAATCACCTATGTCATTATACTTTTAATAGTTTCTTCCTATTAAAATAATCTACTTTAATTTTACCATTATAGTGTTACTTTTTCAAGATTTAACCTATTAAGAATTTCTATTTTTTTTTCCTGATAAAGAACACATTAAAATACTAACCTATAGCATTACATTTTCAAGATTTAACCTATTAAAAAATTCTACCTTTTTTTTTCTTTTTCTTGATAAAGAGCACATGAAAATTTTAATTTAAGACATTGTACTTTGGAGTTTGAAGCTTGTTTGATATTGGTCACCGATTAACACTTATTATTTTTTTCCTTAGATATTGTTATTTTAATTACCTATAATAGATTAGTTTAAAAATCCAACCAAGTTTAACATTATACCAATTACAACATTATACTTTCAAAATCTAACCTATTCAAGCATTATACTTTTATTATTTTTTCGATTAATACATAGCAAGCTTGTTTGATTTTGTTTACTAATTATACCATATCCCACAATTTTTTGCTATTAAGACCTTCAGTTTAACTTTTTTGATAAAGACATTGTAGTTTAAATATCAAACCGGTTATAACATTTAACATTCACTTATAACATTATACTTTTATAATCAAATTAAGACATTGCACTTCTATTATTTTTTGGTACTGAATCCTTGTATTTTGAAAAACTAAATATGTTTGTTTTTATTGCCATTTATAGCATTATAACTTCAATATTATTATTATTATTATTATTATGAAATTGTTCTAGTTTCTTTTCTTATTAAGACGTTATAGTTTCAAAATCTAACTAATTGTAGCATTATACTCTAAATTGTAACATTATATTTTCAAAATGTAACACCGTAAGAGATTGTAGTTTTAAGTACATTCTACTTTTAAAATATAAAACTAGTTTAACTATGGTTATATTAACATTATACTTTCATTTTTTTGTACATTACAACATTATGTTTTGAAAATATGATCAATTATTGTATTATACCTTCATGTACATTGTATAGTCTCA